CATGCGTTATATTCCTCCGACATTCTTTTTACCTTCGCGTTCTATTCCTCAGACATTCTTTTTACACGTGCCTATTCCTCCGACATTCTTTTTACATGCGTTATATTCCTCCGACATTCTTTTTACCTTCGCGTTCTATTCCTCAGACATTCTTTTTACACGTGCCTATTCCTCCGACATTCTTTTTTACACGCATTCTATTTCTCCGACATTCTTTTTACACGCGTCTATTCCTGCTACATTCTTTTTACACGCACATTCTATTCCTCCGACATTCCTTTTACACGCGTCTATTCCGACGACATTCTTTTTACACGCGTTCTATTCCTCCGACATTATTTTTAAACGGGTTCTATTCCTCCGACATTATTTTTAAACGGGTTCTATTCATCCGACATTCTTTTTACACACGCGTTCTATTCCTCCGATATTCTTTTTACACGCGCGTGCTATTCTTTCGCCATTCTTTTTACACGCGTCTATTCCTGCGGCATTCTTTTCACACGCATTCTATTGCTCCGATATTCTTTTTACATGCGCGTTCTATTCCTCAGACATTCTTTTTTACACGCGTTCTATTCCTCCGACATTCTTTTTACACGCGTTCTATTCCTCCGACATTCTTTTTACACGCGTTCTATTCCTCCGACATTCTTTTTACACGCGTTCTATTCCTGCGACATTCTTTTTACACGCGTTCTATTTCTCAGACATTCTTTTTACATGCGTCTATTCCGCCGAAATTATTTTTTCACGCGTCTATTTCTGCGACATTCTTTTTACACGCGTTCTATTCCCCCGACATTCTTTTTACACGCGCGTTCTATTCCTTAGACATTCTTTTTACACGTGTCTATTCCTCTGACATTCTTTTTTACACGCGTTCTATTCCTCCGACATTCTTTTTACACGCGTCTATTCCTGCAACATTCTTTTTACACGCGTTTTATTCCTCCGACATTCTTTTCATACGCGTCTATTCCTGCTTCATTCTTTTCACACGCGTTCTATTCCTGCGACATTCTTTTTACACGCGTTCTATTCCTCCGACATTCTTTTTACACGCGCGTTCTATTCCTCAGACATTCTTTTTACACGTGTCTATTCCTCCGACATTCTTTTTTACACGCGTTCTATTCCTCCTCCGACATTCTTTTTACACGCGCGTTCTATTGCTCAGACATTCTATTTACACGCGTTCTATTCCTGCGACATTCTTTTTACACGCGTTCTATTCCTCAGACATTCTTTTTACACGCGCGTTCTATTCCTTAG